TAATTGTGAAATAACTATTTTGTTTTGATTTTACTTTAAAATTAATTGATAACGAATTTTTTAGATTATGACCGGAGATAGGTCTATACCGTCCTCCTAAAATAAATATAAATGAAAGCAGCACTAAGATTGTGGCGCAGAGAAATCCGTTCATTCGTTTTCAAATTAATTTTGGATTAAAATCCGCACTAATACTGTAGCGCGGTGAATGCTGTTCCTTCGTTTACCCATTTAATTTAGAGTTAAAATCTGTACTAATACAACGGTGGGGAGAAATCCGATCTTACATTTTCAACTTTATTTAGTCAAAATCCGCACTAATACTGTGAGGCAGAGAAATCGATTCCTTCTTTATCAATTTAAATTATGATTAAAATCAGCATTAATAAAGTGGTGTGGAAAAATCCGTTCAGCTGTTTTCAATTTAAATTAGAATGAAATCCACACTGAAACTGCGGAGCGGCGTTGCCGTCTCTGTTATAAAATATTGAACTTAGTTGCCGTTTAAATAAAAGCGGTTTAATTAGGAATTTGATTGGTTACGAACGCAATCCTTTGTTTTATTTATTTATTTATACACGCTGATACCGGTGTGCGACTATTGTCGTCTTTATTTACACGTTCCTTATAGATTATGGGGAAAGCACTGCCACTCAAGTCGAGTCCCCAAGTCCTCGCCCTGGAAAATCCCGATATAGATCGTGATCGAACCCTCTACCACTTCCATCGTTCGGAGAGCCAGCTAGATCGACCCCGAACCATTAACGGATAATTTTTGAATATAATTTTATTAGCTTTTATAGAATATTCTTTATTGTTATTAATTCATATACTTTTATATTACGCTTATAATGTTGAAATAAATAAAAATTTATAATCTTGTCTATGTTACAAATATATATTACATGTATACCCCATTAAACAGTAACTAATTTCTAATATAATATAAAATAACTCTAAATTTAGTTTAAAAATTCTATATTATAAAGCTACATCTATTTACTGTTGTGAATTTTTATTTAAAATAAAATATAATTAATTTTGTCTAATTTCTTTTAAAATACTTTTTTATAGTACAATTAATGACCTTTTCCTTTATGTTTATACAAAAGAATTAACTACAGATTTTCCAAGATTTTTAAAGGCATTATAATTGTATTCTCCAAATAAAACCAATCTTGGCAAATAGATGCTTTGGAATGGCTTCCTTAAATTATGACTTAAAAATATAAATAATTTCCTATATAACAATTTTAAAATAAAAAAATCTAAAAATGAGTCCTTCATTTTGTGATACCAACAACAAATAAGAGCTTGCCATAAAGAATATTTAAATTATTATTTACATTTTTTAAATAAACTTTATCTCTCCTAACTAAGCATGAGCCAATGTCAAAAATATTACCACAACCTAAACAAGGAAAGGGGGAGACTTAAATCATTTTAAAACAATGTTTATAGTAGACTGTTGAATATTCATTCGACATTTTTCTGTTAGCGAAAAAATTACCTAATTGCAGAGTTGTTAACGCTCCTTTTTAAAAGTAGCTAGCTCCTGCTCCAAGTAATGGAGTGCCACTCCATAACCGCTCCTTTGATTTTCATTTTTTTAGAAGTTAAATGATCTATTAAAATATTTATAATCTTTTATTAGCCTTTAAAAGTAATATTTTCTAAATTAGAATCTAACAAACATCCAGGCCTCTCTCCTAAGACCTGTTTGCAATACTATATAAGCGCTACACAGGAGCACTAGAAGGAAGCGGGGTATTTTATTTTATAAAGATATTTTTTAATTCAGCCTGTATCTAGATATAAAAATGTGGTATCTGTATCTAGATAGATTTTTGATTAAATAATCTGTATCTAGATATTATTTTAGACGTTGTATCTGTATCTAGATCCCTTTAATAAGTATCTTTTAACAACTCTGTGAACAAGTAATGAGAAAATTAAAATAAATATTAAAATAACCATCATTATCAACCCAGGCTCAACTATAATGATTTGCCCAAAAATAATTATAACCATTTAAAAAAAAATTATTCCAAAATAAAAAAAACATAGTTATCATTTTGTATTTAAAAGAAAGGTTTTTTACTTTTAGATGTTTTTTTTGATTGAAGCTGCTCATTTTGGAAATGAAATACTTTTACTTAAACGCAAAAGGCATTTTGCCCTTAAATTTGTTTGATCATTTGGATCAACATCTTTTAGAAGTTTAAAATATTTTTTGTATGATGGTAATAGAAATTAGATTTCTTCTTTTAGATCTCTAAATCCATAATATCTATAACTATTTTTTATTATATATCTATAAAATGAATATTAATATGACAGATTATCCAAAAAAATTTCAATATAAAAATAAACTTGATGTTTAATATTTAAAATTATTAGATGAAAAACCAATATAAAACTTGGCTCAACATTTATTAATGGATAAATTTAAATAAATTCATTTTTATTGAATTTTAATTAACAAATATTATTAATATTTAAAAAATAATTTAATTTATACCTTAAATTTAAAGAAGCAGCGCTCCTCCATTCCAGCCCTAAAAGAGCTCCCGCTCCTCATTTTTAAAAAGGAGAGGCGTTCCAGGTGTTTTTGAAAAAATGAAGTGGCGTCCTGGAGCTCCGTTTCTTAACAACTCTGCCTAATTGAATATATAATATTTTTTGTATATGTTAGCGGCAGTGTTATTTTTTCAACTTTTAATCATTTTTTGGGCGCCTTTTTTTAAATTTAAAAATCTGTTACTGGAAATTATGTTTGGAATACCTATCCTATGAATTTCAAACAATTTTGCTATGAACTTATGAACTCATAAATTATAAATGACTAGAAGGTTAACGGTAAAATTATCTACAATTCCTATAGATATTCTATACATCCTGGAATACATTTTCGGTAAAATTATATTTTTAAATTTTAATAAACGCGCTTAAAATGATTTAAAGTTGAAAAAATAACACATTGCCAGAAAAAACACATTGCCGCTAACATATATATATCCTTAAACTTTACGCCATATTTATAAAAATAAATTGGAACTTAATGGTACCATTATCATTTATAATAATAAATATGATTATGAAGGGAATGAATGATTAGTGGTTAAGTAGTCATAATAATTATAATGTAAAATCTAGTATTGCTAAAGGTTACTTTTGAAAGGTAACTAGTTATTTAACTAAATATATTTTAGATCTAACAAGTTAATAGTTACAGTTATAAGTAACTTTATAGTTTAACAATTAAAAATAATTAAGATTCACAAATTTTAATGAAAGGTAAAATACAATTTATTATATAAAAATATAACTTCACTGAAAAAAAAATACTGGAAAATAGAATATTTTTACATCAAATTAAAATATGAATATATATATATTTATATTGATTATTTTTTATTCAAAATTCGTGCTTAATAAATTTTTTACCTATAATAATAAACAATTTTCAAAATTTTGGCTGGATATGCTCCATTCTGTCGAAAAATAAGATTCTCTAAACTGAACAAACATTCTACATAAGCACTTGGTGTGAGGACATTATATTTAATAAAAAAGAATAATTTAATCTCTTTTTAGTTAGTTTCTGATGCTGGCCTAAGAATTATTTTGTAAATTGTACAAATGTTAGCTCTATGATATGGCAATGTTAGATGCTTTCTTATAATGGTAATCTGTTAAAAGATATTGTTGGCATCTTGCATTGGTGCTAAGTTTTATCTATGATTAAAACATATCAGTGACTGGGAAGACAGTCAATTTTAATTATTAAGCTGGATTAATTAAACTAATAAATTTATATAATATTTAGCTAAATAAGAGTTACATGTACATAAACTAAAATTTAGTGCAATTATTTAGACAAATTATATGAAAATAATCTTGCAGATATATGTTTCCATAAATTTGCTGTGGATTAGATGCTGAATATAACTTTTTGGAAGGCATAGGAAACACTTAACACTAATATTGTCTCTACTGCCCACCTTCTCTATGCAAAATCTAAAAAATTTTTAAGCTTGGCTGAGATATTTTAACATTTAAGTCTGTTGTTATATGCCATCTTAAATGACAAGTCAGAGTTAAATCCTGTAAGGTGGCATAGCTGGAGGAGAGGGGCAATTCTCCCTTCAAAATATGGCAGTTCTTGTAAATATCATTTTAAGCTAATAAGAATTTCCCTCCTACATACCCCCACTACCCTCTTCTCCCAAAATATATTCAATATTTTACAAGAATTTGGAAAATATAAGTAAAAATTAATCATTTTTCTAAATAATGACTATAATTCAAAATTTTAGAAAAAAAGTAAATTTAATCTTTGGATATGGGTTAGGGCTGGTTGTGTTTTTGAAGCATTATGGGCTTGGGATTTTTTAAAAATTAGATAAGGGCTAGGGAAAGTCTGGGCCTAAAATTTTATTCTGCAGGTCTGGGCCAGGTTAGATAAAAATATCAGATCCGTGAAGGTAACTCTTAAGTTGACTCATGCGGCTCACTGAGCCTCTCAATTTGAAACGAGTTTTGTGATTCAAGACTTGACTTGAATTTAAGTTAAGTTGACTGGGATTAGTCGTTTAACAACACTAGTTATATATGTGTATATTTCAAAACTTGCACAAGATTGATATTTTTTTTAATACTCTACATTTTGGAATGTTAAAAACACTTAAAAATATGTTATCAAACAAAAATATTTTAAGAAGGGGTTGTTAGCAGCAAATAAAATCAGTCTTGGTTTTGAATTAGCAAAACTGATTCAATTTTGAACAAATTTTAAATCATTTGATTCTAAATGATTTCTTAAATAATTTTATTTTATAACAAGTTTTATATCAATATCCCAAGATGTTTATGCATAAAAAATTAACTACCAATCTTGTACCAATTCTGAGATATATGCATTTATAATAAGGTCATTTTAATATCGTAAAAATACAGACTTAAAAAATTTTATAGTATTATAAATAAAGCTTATTCACATTTTTCCCTTCTGGAACCTTTTCTATTTTACCATTAACAACTATAGAGGCTTCTGAGTTGAGTAACAATGCATCGTATGTTTGACACTAAAAATGTTTGTGATTGTATAATATCCTTATTTATTTTTTTACCAATTTATCAGAAAATATACATTGCAAGTATCCAGTACCATCTCTCAGTGTTATAAACATAAGTGATTTCCCTTTTAAATATTTAATTTGTGTTATTATTAATAAATGATAAATTTAAATAAAACATATCAAAAAAGCCTTATGAAAATAAATTTAAATTTTTAAGTTTTATAAAAAAATGAATCTAAAACCTTGTCTTCTTAATCGATGAATCCAACCATATATTTTAACCCTAGCATTGCAATATTTAATTGCTTCTTTTATCTTAATCTATATTATTTTATTTATAATATAAGTAAATCATAAATACAATTGATGGTTTGAGCAAAGATGGATTTTGATAAATAACAATTTTCTTTGCCTCTTCTAAATTCTTTTCCCTCTTTTCAACATCTTCTGACTGTAAATATATGTGAATTAAGGATAAAATTAAATAATAGACCTCTTTTTCTTTTTTCTTAGCTAATTTTTTAACTTCATTTTGCCAAATTTTTTTCATTTTTTTGAGTTGTGAGATAGATACAAGTTCATATGACTAATAAATATGTATATTATTATTTAATAAAAAATATACAGATGAGTTATTTTCTTTTGCATCAACATATATTGAAGGAAATGGTTCTTCGCCAACAACTAACATTGCCTAAAGATTATTTTAAAGTTAGTTTCTATTAATTACACACTTGTAATATAGTTCTAAACGGATTGATATGACTCCCATCACCTCTTTCGTCGTCACCATTTTTTTCAGAAGTATATAGTTCTTCTATCATTATATTGATTGTAATATTATTTATATAATTATACTTAATGAAATATTTGTTATTAACTCATTAAATTCAGTCATCGTGTGCGTGAATTTTAAGTTAACGTACCTACAATAAAATATAAGATGATCTGTGACAGCTTGAATCATTTGACGTATACGATTGATAAATCTAAAACATCTAGTTTTGTTAGGTTCTATTTACATATTTCAAAATTCAAAGGAAATTACTAATGTTAATCATTTATCACAATTTTTTATGCTAGTGTCTTAAATTCTATATATAAATCAGGGATGGACAGTATCGCGGATATTTGTAACTTTCAGTAGCGTCCTAGGGGGTCTCGTAGGAGCTATAGCCCCCTGAAAGATTTTGAAAGCCCCCTGAAGCGAAAAAAATATTTTTAATGGCTCCCTAATATCCCCCTGAACTAAAAATAAATTTTTTAATAGCCCTCTGAACGATTTTTTTTAACCATACCCCCTAACTTGCGATTATTCTTTTTTAAAATTTTCTCACTCTGAACCATTATTCTGAATTTCATATTTTGTCATTTATTATATTTTGCATACAAAATAAACTAGCATATAAATAATTAAAACAATACAAGACATTTCTAAAAATAATATTTTTTAATACAAAATCTATTTATTACAGTATAAAGCAAATATAGAATAATTGCGCTAAAAAGAATCGGTAGTAGAATAAAAATATGTAAGTCTGGTTGCGCTAAAACGAATAGTAATAGGATAAGAATATGTAAGTCTGGTTTCGTTTGCTTTAGAATAAATAATAACGATATCTCCAAATAATAATAAAAATGCGATTAAATTTATTCTTTTATTAATGTTTAAATAAAACGCAAATATATATATATCAAGTCGTTAAAAAGGTAATTTTTATTAACAAGTAAAATTATCGCGTGCTTACAAAGTCAAAAACTTATATATATATCTAGTAAATCAATTTAAGGTAAATCAATTGATGGTTTGAGGCTTCGTATGTATAAATAAAATAATATATTATTTAGTGAATGTTTTTGTATATGTAAATAGTCATAGTTTAAAGCTTCAATTAACTTTGTATATGTTGTATTAGGAAAATTATCTAAATTTAAATTAACTTTGAAATTGTAACTTTTAAAATTGTATAAATTATCACTGTGGGATATTAAAGATAAAAGGTTATAATTTGAACATTAACTTTAAAGTATATTGTGATTATGACTTTAGGTTGTTAAAGTTTAATTTGTTTTTATAGATATATATAGTCGTGTTTTTTTGTTAATTTTAGAGTTAGTTGTAATATTATGTAATAAAATAAATATTGAATAAAATACGTTACTAGTTTTCAAATTGTAAATTTATCGAAACAAATGTCTTAAAATATATAAAAATTTACTTAAATAATAATTGCCTTCCGTATAATTTATTAGTATATTATGATATTAAACTATATTATGCAACATGCACCTCCTCGAAAAAAACAAAAAAAAAATATAAACTAAAATTTATAATATAGGGAATAGGAGCTCGCTTGGCATGCGGGAGGTAATTTAGATTTACTTATAAGAAGAAAATAATAACAATAATGTAAAAGGGGCTATAACAAACTTTGACCTTAAAATACAAATTGGTTAATCAAGTGGGAAAACATAGGGTAATAATGAGGGGACGGATTATGTATTATATTGATTTGAAAATATATGTATAATGGGGAAATGGCACCATAATTGTACATGATAGTTTTTTATGTAATTACCCTTAACAAAAGGTATAGATTACACTATCTATAGGTACAATTAACACTATAGGTGTCCAATAATCAATCAATATATGTGGAATAAAATTCATATAATGAAGAAAATTACTAATGGGGAAATGGCACTATAGTTGTACATGATAGTTTTTTATGTAATTACCCTTAACAAAGGTATAGATTACACTATCCATAGATACAATTAACACTATCGGTGACAAATCATCACTAAATATATTTGGAATAAAAATTAATATAAAGAATTGGTTAATTAAATGGGACAACATAGAATAATAATGAGGGGACGGGTTAGGTATTATGTTGATTTGAAAATATATGTATAATGGGGAAATGATACTGTTATTGTGTAATAAAGAGCTGAGAATAGGGAAAGACTGGAAAGGGGTTAACATATCATATATGTATAATGGAGAAATGGTACTGTTATTGTATATAACAGCGGATAATAGGGGAAAGACTGGGAAGGGGTTAACATATCATATATGTATTTACAATTTATTGTAATGTTTTTATATTAAAACTATAAGTGACAGTCACAAATTTCTGATTTTATCAATGTGCGCTAGCACCACCTTATTATCTATTTTTATTTCCCAAATAACATTACTGATTCTCCCAATAACAATCCCTACACGCCATTCTTGACTGACGCCTACTTTGACAAAAACAGAGTGGCCAAATGTTAATTCTCTGAACTTTATTCTTTTAATTTTAGGTCGTATATCACAGTCACTGTCCTTCAAAACACTCCATTTCCATCTTAGTTCCCTGACGAATAATCTAAAAGCAGGTGAAGCTTTGGTTTCAGAATGTATGGTATTGAGAATTTAATAACATCTCTTCCAATAACCTATCATCCCAACCACCTAATTTATAAATCATATCCTTAGCTGAGCGTACCGCTCTTTCAGCCATACCATTTGAAGACGGATGGTATGCAGGAGTAAATATATGTGTTATACCTTTTTTTAATAGAAAATTCTTAAAATCATACGACCTAAAAGCTGGTCCATTATCAAAAACCAACTCTACCGGGTAACCAAATCTATAAAATATATTATTTAATACCAATGGTATGCAGGAGTAAATATATGTGTTATACCTTTTTTTAATAGAAAATTCTTAAAATCATACGACCTAAAACCTGGTCCATTATCAGAAACCAACTCAACCGGGTAACCAAATCTAGAAAATATATTATTTAATACCATAATCGTGGTATTCGTAGTAATATTTTTAACCTTGATAATCTCAAGCCATCGAGAGTACCCATCAATTATTACTAATCCATAATAATTCTTAATGGGTCCAAAAAAATCAATAAAAATACGATACCAGGGTCTGCTCGGATCTACCCAATGATTATTTCTAACCCTTGGTAATTTTGGAAACAAGCAGTCGACACTGTAAGTCCAAAAGGTAATCTATTAAATTGAAAAAGACCTTTATGGGTTGAAACGGTTAAAAATTTGGAAGTTTCTTTAGAAATAGGTATTTGCAAATAAGCCGAGGAAAAGTCTATTTTTGAAAATAATCTGCCTTTTCCGACCTTAGCAATAATGTCACTTATCCTTGGCAGCGGATATTCAAACCTTTCTAACTGTGGATTAACAGTGACCCTAAAGTCAGCACAAACTCTCAAAGCATTTTCCTTCTTTTTAACCAAAACTAATGGTGTCGCCCATTGGGAAAATATAACAGGGGTTATTATGCCCTGTTGACACCATTGTTCTAGAATGTTACCTAACTCTTCTTCTAATTCAAACGGTACTCTCCTGGCCTTCAAAAATCTTGGTTTAAAATCATCTTTTAACAAAATATTTATTTTTAAATGTTTTACTTTGCCTATTTTATTATTAAAAACACAATCAAACCTTTTAACTAAATTATTAATATCATAATTAAAATCATAACAATTTTTTTTAATAAACATTGACTGAATAACCAAATTCCCTCTATCAAATCTGCCATTATTTTTACAAGGATTGTTAAAAGTTACAAAATTTGCCCTATCTCCCAGGGACGAAGCGTCCATAGAAGCAAGGGACTTCCCTTGAAATTTTTTTTACAAAATTCTTAGATAAACTTAATATAATCTTTATACTATGCTAAAAAAAAATAAAATTACTTCATTAAAATAATTAATATATTTTTTATAACGTTAAAAAGATTTATAATATTTTACTACTATAAAAAATTTACGTTAAAAAATTTACTATTATATTTACTATGTTAAAAAATGATGGAAGCAAATTTAATATTGCTTATTTTCCTATAATAAATATACTAATAAATCATGATTCATACGATATTTTTTTGATGTAATTTTTTTATTACGTTAAAAAAAATATACAAGAGGGAAGCAAATCTAATATTGTTTATTTTTTCAATAAATAAATAGAAAATCATGTTATGATATTGTTTAATTTTACGATTAAAAAATAAGCATTGGGGAAGCAAATAAAAATTGCTTATTTTTTTTTTATAAAAGAAAAAAAAATTTCTATATTAAATTTTTTTTCTTACTTTTTTAAAAAAAAAATTTTTTTCTTTAAATTAATGTTTAATAATTGTAATTGTATTATTGAAAATTTATTAATATTATCATTTAGCTCAAGAAATTTTGATACCAAAAAATTAATTATTGAAAAAGGAAAACCAAAGCCAATTTTAAGAAATTTAAAAAAAGAAATAAAATCTTGCATTCGTAATTTTTCTATCGATAAATATGAATGGCTCACTGGATGTGAATTTTCTAATTCTCTATATTGTTGGTCATAAGGAAAAATATGTTTGGAATGATAGAAGATTTTCGGATATGAATAATTTTTCAAAGGCAGTTAAACGACATTAAGAATCAACAGCTCATTTGCAGTCGATGATTCAATTAAAAACATTTGGCGAAATTCGTATTGAAAATATGATGGACTCGATGCGCAAAATATCAATCGAACAGCATAATTCGAAAGTTAAATCAAATAGAGAAATATTGAAAATTTTAATCAATTCTATATGTTTTCTTGGAGTTCAGCAGCTCGCATTCCGTGGTGATGATGAATCACCTAATTCAGTAAATAAAGGAAATTATATTGAATTAATTTATTTGCTCGCGGAAGAAAATTTTACTATTAAAACATCATTTAGAAAATAGTACAACTTTTATTGGACTATCAAGTGATATCCAAAATGATTTAATTAATTCCATTTCATTTGTCTTACACCAAAAAATATTAGATGAATTGGAAGAAACGGAATTTATAACAATAATATTAGATGAAACAATTGATATAAATAATAAATCCCAACTGGCTGTAGTTCTTCGATATGTTTTAAATGACGGGACATTATATGAAA